AATCCTTTTTTTTTTTTTTTACTGAATTTACTTAGAGTTTAAAAAATATGATCAGTTTAGGGAAAAAAGGCCACATAGTAGGTGGTGTTAAAAGTAATTTTATTACAATTTGTCGCACTAGAAAATCACCAATCACTGGGCGTGTCAATCAATTTAAAGAAATATTTTATTCACATACATTAATAATCATGAAAAATATTTTGAATTGAACTCGAGTGGACTCGAAAAAAAAAAAATGTTCAAGTACGAGTCAATTCCGAGTCCAAATGGACACGAGTCCATGACAAGACCAAGACCATTAAAATATGGTCTCGAGACCGAGTCCGAGACGAGTCCGAGTCTCGAGTACTACAACACTGAAATTAAGTAAATAAGTTTAATACACATAGTTACAAGCTTAAAACAAACTTTATGAAGAAGATGTCAAGAGTAAATGCAAAGCTTCTTTTCCAATGCAAGCCCATTAAAAGCTGCTGAACTTCATTATCTTCACAATGGACATTCTGTTTTAGAAAACGTGCTAGAAATCATGAACCACAACTAAAAGCCAAAAATTCAAGTTATGTAGTGCTTGACCAAATATGCTCCTTATCTCAAGTGTATTGAAACAGCACAGTCCAGCTGGGTCAACAGCGCACACAAAACCAGTGCATGCTTCAGTGAGGACAGATACGCCACTCATTTCATGCTCACAAATCATCATGTTTTTCAATCAGAGAAGGCAGAGGTTACCACAATGGCACGTCACAGCCAGGATATGTGGCACATTACATCAGCATTCCTTTACAAAAAGATGAACATTTGAGGATTTATGGGTTTCTTTTTTTTTTTTTAAATACAAACCCAATTCCATAAAAGTTGGGACACTGTACAAATTGTGAATAAAAACAGAATGCAACGATGTGGAAGTTTCAAATTTCAATATTATATTTAGAATACAACATAGATGACATATCAAATGTTGTAAGTGAGACATTTTGAATTGCCATGCCAAATATTGGCTCCTTTTGGATTTCATGAGAGCTACAAATTCCCAAAAAGTTGGGACAGGTAGCAATAAGAGGCCAGAAAAGTTAAATGTACATATAAGGAATAGCTGGAGGACCAATTTGCAACTTATTAGGTCAATTGGCAACATGATTGGGTATAAAAAAAAGATCTTTCACCCATAGAAAACATTTGGCGCATCATAAAGATGAAGATGCAACAAAGACCTAAGACAGTTGAGCAGCTAGAAGCCTTTATTAGACAAGAATGGGACAACATTCCTATTCCTAAACTTGAGCAACTTGTCTCCTCAGTCCCCAGACGTTTGCAGACTGTTATTAAAAGAAGAGGGGATGCCACACAGTGGTAAAAATGGCCTTGAGATGTGTTGATGCCATGAAATTTAAAATCAACTTATTTTCCCCTTAAAATTATGCATTTTCTCAGTTTAAACATTTGATATGTCATCTATGTTGTATTCTAAATATAATATTGAAATTTGAAACTTCCACATCATTGCATTCTGTTTTTATTCACAATTTGTACAGTGTCCCAACTTTTATGGAATTGGGTTTGTAGACTAAAAAAGATTGGGGTGGATACCAACATCCTCAAACACTCACAGTAAGCTTTCAGCCTCTTGGTTTCTTATAAAACCATTAACCTCTTCTGGAAACCGTAATGGACTGATGGGGTCCGTTTGCTCTCTTTTAACTTAGTAGTAAATTCTGTTTTTGAAATCACAAAGTTGTAAAAGAAAAAAAAAAAAAGAGGGATTCGTAAAATAACAAAACGCGTGGATGGTGAGAAGCTCATTGCTGAGACTTGTTTTCACGGGACTTCATAGTCCCTCTCTATCTCATTGCTGTCAAGGAGAAATAACTGAGATCTCATTTGTCCCTTTTCTTTCCTATAATGGGTCAAGGTCATGGTAAGAACAAAGAAAATCACATATTTGCACTAGGCTTCACTTCAGCCTAGAAGCTGCGAGACCATTCATCAGCACCCAGTCTCTGTTTCACCCTATGTTTGCATTCGTCTGTCCTTTGGTGAATCACTCACACCTAAGGCGCCGTGAGGAGCACAACCTTCCCTACAACCACACCCCTAACTGCCTCCAAGAAAATGGCAGGTTGTTAATGTCATGAAGCTTTTGCAAGTCATATTGCCTGCGGTCATGTCTGACCTTTGCTCTCCTCTCTGGACAGACCTACAATATCATCTAACACCAACTGTGGGTGGTACAGAGGACCTTTGATGATGGAGACATGTGACCACGTACGTGAACAGAATTGGGTGAGCCCGCCGGAGGCAATATGTGGCTATAAGCTGAAAGCATTGAGCCATTTTGCTTCGGCACAGCTCCAGCGGTGTTATTCCGAGCAAGCCTCATATAAGCTCATATATGATTGCAATGAAGAAAAGGTTTGCTCTGCTAATAAAATAACACAGGTGGAAGCGGTATTTCGAGTCGAGAGTAATGTTCGATGATTCACAAGGGAATCAACTGGAGATTAGGCTGCTAGTTCTTTAAATGAAAGCAAAACGTTGTCTAAATATGCAATATCACAAAACCATTAAAGGGATAGTTCACTTTGAAATTAATTTTTGGTATGTTTTAGCTTATCTCAAGGGCATCCAAGAGTAGTTTACGCAGTATTTTCAATTTTGATATTTTTAGGTCAAATCGTTCGTGTCTGTCTGTCATATAATGGAGGTCTATGGTCACCACCTCAAAGAGCATGCACAGAGAAGTCCGAATTAAACATGATTTAATGACTCGTAAATGTAAGTACACACTGATGGCCTAAGACACGAAACGAGCGGTTTGTGTGAGAAAACGGACAGTTTTTACGTATATCGTTTTTACCTGTAACCACAGCCACATCCAAGTGATCTGAGGGCGCAGGAGTTTTGTGGCTGTGGTTACAAGAGGTAAAACGATATACTGTTCGTTTTCTCACACAAACCGCTCGTTTCGTGTCTTAGGCCGTCAATGTGTACTTACATTTGCGAGTCATTAAATCATGTTTAATTTGGACTTCTCTGTGCATGCTCTTTGAGGTGGTGACCATAGACCTCCATTATATGACTGACAGACAAGAACGGTTTGACCTAAAAATATCAAAATTGAAACTACTGCGGAAACAAAGACACCTACATCTTGGATGCCCTTGAGGTGAGCTAAAACACACCAAAAATTAATTTCAAAGCGAACTATACCTTTAAAGTGTTGTTTGAAAATCAATTAGAAAAGCTAATAATAAAACTGGAATTGAATTCCACTCTGAACTGTGAGACTAGATTTGAAGTAGTGTGACGTCCTGATGCTAGAGTATAGTGCCTACAGTGTATGAATGAGTGAACGGTTTTGTGACACTGTATATGCTTGAATGAGTAAATTGAGCTTCTGTTGTGTCATGCACTTCATGGTGAGATGTAAAGATCAGAGTTGCAAGAATGAATATGTGTATAATATCATAAACGCCACTTCTGATTATTCACATTACTAATTTTCCTGTAACCGAGCGAGATACACAGAGAACAAGGAAGAAGAAGAGCATAGCTGGTTATTCTATTCAGGAATGACTTTGATTTAATAACAAACATTCATTTCTTATGATATAATGATTCAACTTATGATTCAACTTTCAATTTTAGAGGGTTGAAATTGTTTAGAGTGCATAGGAGAGGCAGAGATTGCACAAAATCGGGCTTAACAGATAAGAAAGGAGAGATATAAATAGTCAGAGAACATAAAAAAAATCTCTAAAACAAAGGGAAAATATCGTAATCTCGGCGGATGTGTGGAATTGAAGCTTTTCTTTTTTATTCACAGAGGAAAGCCTGGCCAACTCCTCTTCTCCCATTATGAAGATGGGCTGACACATTGCTTCAAGTGCCAATACCAATAATTGCCCATAGCCACAGGGAGCTGCATGACATCAAGGTTCATGGTGATTTGGACACTCGCTCTAGCTATTTATCCAGTGGAAACGAATATTTAATCCAAATGAATGCGTGCAAGTTCCACGCCAGGAAAATGCGAAAGGGTTTAGAGCAGTGATCTGTGCATTTTCGCTTTCTTGGCCTAGTAATGACATCATTTAAGCTCGCGGACACACACAAATGCCCTCACTCTCAGACTCAGACATAAACTGCATAAATCGTAATCATTGTTTTGTCCTAAAGACATCTTGACAGTACTAATGAATGCGTGCACTGTTGCTTAAAACATTAATCATGTGATGGAATTGCAAACACTACAACAAGCAGGGCACACGATCACACGTTCACTTCTCAAACCTCGTATTCTCTGTCTGCCGGGTGAATAAAATCAATACGAGTAACTCGTAGTGAATATCACTGGGCTATTTTGAGAAAAACAGAAAACAATTCCTCAAAATCCTGCTAAGAGTACAAATAACTCAAAATACAATGCAGCCAGGTCCCTGGTGTATTGAAAATGCACTACCAGTTCTGAGTTATTGTTATGAATATCACCTCACATGACCAGACCTCAAACACAAAACTTCATGTTGTACTTCACAGCCATCACTAGGGGATGCTCTTGTATCTAAGGGGGGGAAATTCTACCAGATAACCATAAGGGTAGAAAGAGTATACAAAAAATACACACAAGATGGATACATTTTTGTTAGTTTTGTTATTTCATAAATCCCAGCAAAAACATTCAGTTCATTTGCAGAAGGAATTCTGTTGCCATAGAAACCACATTAGCTCTTCCTGGCCATTATTCATGTCCATATGTGAATACTGTGTATAATAGGTAATGCATGCTCTGAAAAGTTGTGTTATGCACAATCTCTGATGAATACTGCAGAATTATCATATATGAAGCGCAATACTGTTCATTGAAATAATTTGAGGAAAGCTAATGGATTTATAATCTAGAACTTTTCAAATGAAACATAACTTACCTGGAACAGAGAGCTTGGGAAAAGGGTTACAAAAATGTGTCTCAAACAGGGCAGCATGATGATGACACTTACCATATTCACTTCTGACACCATGTCTATGCTGGCAATGTCTATATTCATCCCCACTCCCACCGGTGGACCTATAAACCAAATCATACCAATGAGTATACGTCTAATTGTTTTGTTTTGCACACTTTGAAGCATTATTAACTCAATGTCAGCCTGATAACATCCAGGATGTGATGAAAACTAAACCAAAGATTCCCAAACACACTAATCGTTCAGTATGGAAAGTTCCCAGCCTATTCACCATCATGATCATCCCTGTTTACTGATATTGCTCTAACTTATTAATGAGCAAATCGGAAGAACCACTGGATAAAACGTACATGTTATGAATTAATTCGTCAACTTTGCGAAGCACCTCTAATCTAACGTCGATAAGCGAATATTTTAAAACAAGTGACACCAAGTGTTCAGATCATATCCAAACCTATAATAACTGGGACGTATTAGGACGTAATTCTTCGTCGTGGCGCGTTTATGAAAGTTTAGAGGTGATGTTAAAAGGCTGACATAATAAACCTAATTAAAAACGTGCTTTACCTCCAAAATCTGGCCTCAAGCGAATGTCATATCCCTTCAATAGTCTATCAACAGTTTCTTTTACGATAGACATATTGCTTGGATCATTGACACTGTAAAGAGGGAAAATACACCGTTAGATTCAGATGTATCCTTAGAGATCATTTTAGGTGTGTGTGTGTATGTGTGTGTGAGCGTGTGTGAGCGTGCGTGCGTGAGTGTGTGTATGTGTGTAGAGTACAGACAGCCATATGAAGTGAGGAGAGCTTTTGGATCCGACTTACCTTTGCGCACACACCACAGCCATTATCACGGGGAACGTCCAGACGCGCATAAAGCCCTTTTCTCGTATTCTAAAGATCTCCATACTTTTATGTTTTCTGGTTTCCGTGAAGACAGAGAAAATCCAACTTAGAGTGCGCTGTGCAGTAATTCCACTGTGGTGCGCATGCGTACTCCAGCGCAGCATCCAGGAGCGGTATGGCGGTGATAGTGCGAGAAGAGCACTTCCCGACCAGAGACAGGGAAATATTTGGGAAAACAACGATAACACCCGAGTGAACAGTAAAACAGATGACCTTACATCTGCATTGTTTGTGCATCATGCAAAAAAAGGAGCCCTGTCTTGTCAAGTGGGCTTTAAAAGCTACTTCATGAGCAGTTTTAGTGTTCTTTCTCCTGTCTTGAAAATTTGACGTGAGGCTCAAAAGTAATTAGTCTCACACAAGATGGAGCAGGAGGTTTGTTTTACCGGTAAAAAAATAAAAATAAATAAATAAAATAAAATATGACTTAAAATTATTTGACTTCTGTTGGTCTATCATTTGAGGACGTGTAGGATCGATAGGAATCTAAACCTAGATGACACCATCCCAACACGACAAGGGGAATCCTATAAGCAAACCCATCCATAGTGCATGAAGGGGGGAGGAGTTCAAAGGAAAAAATAGGCAGTGCACCTAATTTGTATTGGTATAAGAAACGTCAAAAATTCAATTGTATCTTGGAGTGAAGAAAATGGCATGGCATGGCATGGCGGGGCGGGGGGGTGATCTATATATATTTAATATTCCAACTATTGAAATACTGCCATAGTAGAAATGTGAGGGGGGAAAAAAACAAAAAACATTAACACAATTGCTGTTGGTGAGTGTTTTCAACTGGTAGGTTAATTGTGTCAGATAAAATTTTCCAGAAAAAAAATCTGTTTATCAACAACAAATGGTCTCAATTGTAAAATTAAAGACTAACAGAGGGAAGTGGTTGATATAATATAATAATCACAATTATATTGCTATTCTAAATTATTATTTAGAACTGGGGTAGGCAATACAAAAAAACAGTTACATTAAAAAAAAACTATCATTTCATATATCAGGCTTGGTTAAATGTTGAAACTTTTACATGGACTCCACATGTATCCCTAAATAAATACTTTTTAATCTGAACAATCACAAATTTTTCCTTTCAAATGTTACTCACAATGCTGCGCTGAGTGCTATGGGAAAAGCAGCTGTGAAGTATGTGTAGTATTCTTACTGTCTGCTATGGACCGATCACATGCCAATGACAATGCTGTGTTCGTATTGGCTATAGACCCCTTTTGCACCGACGTCACAATACAAACCAGCACAGATTCGGCTACATAATAAGGAGCTTAAATTATTGTTATTATTATTAAATGTCATCTTGTTGTGTTCTTTGGTGCAAGAATTGATGAAAAATTAATATGCTGTATCTGGAATTTTTATTTCTTGAAAATATTCACATCATTAAAATCGCACCGTAATGTCACTCTTTATATTGTCGTCATCTTGGCGCTGGCTCGGCAGAACTGCGGATCGTACACACAAGTCTTGTACAGGACCATATAGGCATCTAAAGATTTATTTTCTCAGTTTCTCTTTACGATCGGTTTCTCTATAAGGTACGTGTAGAAGTCAGGCCACTCAACCGAGGTAACGTAACGTTAATCCTGTCAGATCGTCCATGCATTGAGTGACCGTGTATAGGCGACTACGGATCGGCCAATCTGGTTCCGTCCGTTAAAAATACATTTTGGAAATAACAATCGCGGTCCTGGACACTGAGTGACCTTACACATTAAGATAAAATCGGATTTTCTCCAGTCATTGTTAAAAAACAAGCTAACAATACTTGCTAACTGGCGTTAATGAAGCGGCCAGAGGGATCGTTCTGCCTCCACCTAAGCTCCACCCACAAAAAAACGTCACCATGTTTACCAACTGAAAAGGGGTCTATAGCACTTGTCAATACCGTTCATGCAAAACGTGTGAACGTAACAGCTGGTTATCTCTCCTTGGATCCTAATGATGTTTTAAAAAATGTCCTTTTTTAAATAAAAAGAAAAAAGAAGAAAAAAATGGCCAGACAAGGAATGACCCCCTGACTGAGTTTGGTTTCTCCCAAGGTTTTTTTTCTCCATTGTTCTGATGAAGTTTTGGTTCCTTGCCACTGTCACCTCTGGCTTGCTTAGTTGGGAACACTTACATTTCATTGCACCAGTCTCCACATTTCAATGGCGTGGTCTCCATTACCATTAAACCAGAGCAGGTGCATTTAATGTAAACATGAGCTATAATGTTGTCTGGGAAAAGGGGCCATAGAACATGTTCCCCACCTAGAGAGAGAGTCAGACTACTATATTTTGTACTTAATGGTTCCCAAGAAAATATGCTTCCAATTTTAAATCTTCGCAGATTGAATCATTCCCTAAAAACGGCCAAGTTTGAGAACTATCGAGATGATTGTGTTGCAAATCCAAAATCACGTTTGGTTCCTCACAATTGATCTCAAGGACACATACTTTCACTTGGAAATCCTGCCACAACACAGGAAGTTCCTAAGGTTCCCTTTCCGGGGCTGAGCTAATACATTTTGGATTCCTCCATTTCATGTAGCCTCCCCACACATAACAAAATGCATGGTTGCATCTCTGGCTCTGCTGTGACACCAGGGCCATCCACATTTATAGATGATTGGCCGATAATGGCCCAGTCTCAAGAGCTTGCGTTTCGACATCGAGATCGATCCTCACTCATCTTGCTCTCTGGGATTTAGATGCAATGACAAGAAAAATGTTCTCTCTCCGGCCCAGAGGAGAGGACCAATAATTTTCAGGGGTTACATGGGAATCGATCACAATCGAGGGCACACCTGTCTACCACTGAAGTCAAGACCATTTTAAACACCCTATGCAACATCAGGCTAGGTCAGGATAGGGCTGTAGTCAAGACCACCTTTGTCGAGTCCAAGACAAGTCCAACACACTATTCCGAGTCCGAGTCCGAATACCAGCGAGTCCGAAACAAGTCGGAGACCATAGAAAAACGGTCTCGAGTCTGGACTCGAGTCCAAGACCGGACTCGAGTACTACAGCCCTGGGTCAGGACATTACTGTTCATCAGTTTCAGAATATCCTAGACCGTTTAGTTGTGGCTCAAAGCCAGGGGATTTCATCCTGGGGCCAATACCCAAAAGCAAATAAGGGCACGTGCTGAGTGCTTCGTGACCTTTCTAAAAATCCATGCCAATCGTAGCTCACGCATTTAATGCTTTGTGCACTTACTAAAATCCATGTTTATAGTAAGCGTTACGCACTGTGGTTTCGTTCCCTTTCTATGTGGCTCAGACCCCGGTTCCTCACTTTGTCTCAAGCGCAGGGAACCTCATGTTTGGCCCAAAGGGTACCAACTAAGGGACTCTGGGCTTTCAGCTGACTCCACCTGTAGAATCTAAAAATGTTTTTTTTTTTTTTTTTTCTAATGGCAATTACTTCATTTCAAGGGCTTTGCAGGAGCTGTCGACCTCGTCATCCTGCTTAGACTTTGCCCCCACAATTGTGAAAGCTATTTTGCATCCTTATCCTGACTAACTGCCTAAGGTTCCATTCTTGACCGTACATCGGGTCACCATTAAAGCCTTCTTTCCTCCACTTTTCACTAAGCTGGAGCAGGGGGAATTTTACTGTCTGTGCTCTTTAGACTTGTAATCACTGCACTAGTCTGACAGTTTAACAATCAATGACAAACAGAAGTAATATAAAATAAAATAAAAACAACAGAAAAAATAACATTACTTTCAGAAGTCTAATATCTGTAAAACTACAAGTGGTCCAACAGTTCAGGTTTTAAAAATCTGGCTTGTATCTGTAACGGTCACCAGCTGGAGTGCCTTTGAGAGCCACCAGAGGGCACTCCACATCAGACTATTGTCATTCCCTCACAAACTACATCTCACATAACTCACTGCATGGACTCTGGGGATTACCCTTTCAATAAAACGGCATTTGGATCCTCAACCTTCATGTCTCGTAGCAGTTTGCTACAGGAGACTTCGCCACCAATGGATCCAGCAGTGCAAATCATTCGTTTGCACCAAGCTAATCGGTCCCTCGAGGACCACATTTAGGACTTCTTAAGTATCTCCAGCCATAATGGTCGCTAGTCCTGTGGTTCCAGTAGCGTCCCATCCTGAGGTTTCTAGGCCAGAGTATATTCACATCATGCCTGTCGCGCCTAAGCCAGTACTGGAAAAAAGTCTGCACTCATCCTAGTTGCCACAGCGATTTTCAGTGTGTGGGCAGTACCCGCATCAGATCCAGCCTGTGAATCCTTGGCCAAGATGGCCACCATTCTTCCAGAGCCTCGTCCCGTCATGGGGGACCATCCAGAATCTCGTACCATTCATGGTCGCCCTTCCAGAGTCTCGCCCCGTCATGGCCGCCAGTGATGCGCGGGTCAATGTATAAACAAACCGCAACCGACCGACATTTTCAACTACCCGCCCGCAACTCGGACCGCAAAAAAAAGTAAAAAAATATTGTACCCGACCCGCTTCCTGACCGCATTTTTTAAAAGTAGTAAATGCTCATCGGAGCATTATTGGGCCATAGATGTGTAACAACACAGCATCGCAAGAAGACGTAGGCCTTGCCTACACATAACAAAGGCAAAGCCAGTACTTTGGTCATCATATTTCATTATTTCAGCAAATGTCTCCCACACTTTTACTCTTTCTATTTGTGTATTTGCGAGCTTCCACTCCCCAGTCTTCACCTTTTCTCTTGCCGCCTCCATCTCTCTGCAGACTGTAGTGATCACAGACATGGCCGGTTCGTGAACGAATCGTTCTTTTGAACCGGTTCTTTTTAGTGAACCGGTCGAACCTACACTAAATCGAGCTGAATCGTTCGAAAAAGTTCGCGTCTTGCGTCAGTGCTGATCCACAAGTTAGTTACTTACTTTCAGACATGCCTGACAGTCGCCTCCGAATCGAAATAAATCAATATCCTGAATTCTATTTTACTCCAGTAACTCCAACAGTTCACTGAACCGAGACATGTTGGTGCCACTGTTGAGAGAAGTGATGAGCACGAGCAGCTGATACTGCGCATAGATACTGCGTACTACCGAACGCACAGGGACAGCGGTTCTCGAATAGAACCGAGAACTGTTTAGACTGAGCTTGTGTTATCTTCGTGCCA